TCAGCCTGCTACAATCCACTTTTATCCTTCAAAAGCCAAAACCACATTGCACATGTCCTGCTTCCGCCCGAAGCTTTACTCCGTTCACCTTCTCACAGGATGTCCTGCCCCCCTCTTTTTTTTTTTTCTTTGGCAATGGCACTGTCAAAATATTTACTGGCTAAAATATTTATGATATATAATATACTCAAAAACACAGCTGCTGTCTCTTTTTTACAGCATTTACCCTTCCTGGAGTAAACTGAAGAAGCCCTTTTGAAAGGAATGGGCTGCAGGGAAGAGTGAAAAACACAGGGACACACATGTGTCCCCAGGGGCCTGATCCTGCCCCTCACTGAAGGCTGTTAGCTGTGACCATACCTCGTCCTCGTAGACCACGAGCTGTGTTTTCCGTAGCTGGATGTAACGATCCTTCCACAATCCCAGGAGACCCCCACTGCTTTTCTTAATCCAGCCATATTTCTCTGCAGTTGGAGCAGACTTGGGTTTCTCTGACACCTCCTCCTTTGTATCCTGCAAGGAGAGAAGGGAGACGGAATTATATTCAAAGCACTTTTCATGATGAGAAAGCCTTCCCAGAGATCTCAGCACCCACCAAACGTGGTCTCTCCCTCCCACATCACAAGGGAAAAGACTGGCACCTTCCAGAGGAAAACTCAGCCAGCTCCCACAGGACTGGAGAGTGGGCACAGACCCCAGCCACCCCAGGGACACTGCTGGGATGGCAGCAAGTCCACCTTGGACTCCCTCCTCTGTGCAGGTACTCCCTGCTCACTTGTGCACCAAGTGCACCTTGAAAATGAGCACTCTCCTCTCCTCTTTGCTTCTCCACCTCTCTGATGAATCCCAGCAGCATGGATCCTACTGGCATCAGTAGCAACACTCATATTTTAGCTCAAGGCCACTTCTGCAAGTTTCTCCTCTGGGTCTACATTTGGTCATCATGCCCAAAACAACTCCCATGGGCAAATCCACAGCATGAGGGCCAGGACTTCATCCCATCTGCACTAAAATGTTCCTGGCAGGCTCCTGCATGGGAAGGACTGGCAGAGAAGGCAGCACCAAGAGTGGGGGTGGTTTTTTTGTCCTCCCTTTAGCTCCTTGCCGTTTGTCACAGCCTGCTCTCGCCTGCCTGCAGCAGCACAGAGAGCTCCAGTGTCCTGCACTGGGGTGCTGCTGGCTTTCCAGGTCTGGTAAAAACCAGGAGATGCAGAACTTCCCTGCATTGAAGAAACCATCAGAAAAATCCAGTATCAACATTCTCGTCAAACAGAGACAGGAAACCTAAGACAGGGAGCAGGTGCAGTTGGGCTTATTAGCTGATGCCTTCACCAGCAGACTAGTTAAAGATGAGAGCTTTCCTCCTCTCCAGTGTGCTGGAAGAGCCTTTGCAGAGGCAGGATCCTCCCCATATCCCCTCCCTGGAGCCCCCTGCTTCTTCCAACATCCCATGGACCTCTCAATAAGCCTCTTTCCCTCAGCAAGGTGAGGGGAATCCCTCGCTGAGCCAAATCCCCGTACAAAAACACCTTGCTAACCATGTGACTTGTCAGGAGAGGCCAAGCCCAAATCCTCCAGCCTCCTCCCAGGAACCCCACTGCCCCCTAGACTCAGTTTCCTCCATGTCTTCACCTCTAATAGCAGCAATCCTGCTGCAGAAAGCCGGCACACAAAAAGAGGATGAGTGACAAAGGAGAGTCCCAGACATGCCAAAATGGCCCTCACTGCTCAAGCTGGACTGGCTGGAGCTCAGACATCTTGTTTCATAACACGAGGAAATCCCACACGAATGGAAAGGAGTTGGAGCTGGACACTCCCATGGCCAGGACAGAGAGAGTAGAGACGGATGAGCTCCAAAAATTCGGAGGAGAGCCTTGCTGATGAATCTGTTTCCATGCACCAGACTCCCAGTGAACACACCCTTGGACAGCAGCTACCATTGGGGTAAGCTGTTATTCCAAAGCGGGAGCTTGCACCCATAAAAATAGGAAAACCAGCTTAAATACACCATGCACCCACATTTATTCTGATCCCTGCTAAGGTCAGGAAGAGGCTGGGCTTTGCAGGTAGGCTCAGGTGCAGACTGGGAACAAAAAACTCAAACGAACCCTGTTTCACCTAAAAAGAAAACCAGGCCAAGACCTGTAACATCCTTGTTGCATTTTGCAGAAGTTATTTTGATTGTACTGAGCCGTGTTTGAAACGGCCACAATACAGGATGACTGAGCACCAAAAAGTTTTCCGGGAAGCGAGGGGGGACTGTGTGGCGTGGGTTTTTTTTTAAACTTGACTTTTTAGGTTGCCAGGAAGTTGTATTCAGTTGAGAACTGCGACTTCAGCAAACATCAATTCCTGCACAAATATAGACCTGCTGGTTTCCTGATCGAGCACCCTTTTGATGTCATTTTTAGATAATTGGGCATGGACTTTAACCTCCCTTGTAGCAGTTTTGAATGGATGTAGCTGTATGAAGAGTTTATTTCAGTGAGTCCAGACTAACAATCAACAAAATGCTTTTACTCTTTAAGGCTTTTCTTGCTTGGCAGATAAATTTTTTGCTGTTCTTTTTCCCCACCTGGCAGAAAGGCTGAAATCACATGGTAAATATGTCTATCCATGCTCTGCTCTGCAGAGTGAAAACTGCTCTGGTCTTAAAATAAAAGTACTCCTGTGAAGACACTGCACATACCATCTACCTCTGAAAAGCAACCCATCCCAGTAGAGCTGGGGCTCATGCTGACACCTCTGCATGAGGCTGAGCTGGTTTGGGGTCTGGTTCACCAGCTCTCCAGCCTTCCAGGGACAGCACCTCCCCTCCATGACATGGAAGGGTGGCCTTGGAGCTCACCCTCTCCCCAGGCCACTCCAGAGCCCTGGTTGGAGCCACCTGTCTAAATGGAGCTGTGTGTGGGGCTCCCTCAACACCAGACAGGACTTCCTGCTGTGCCAGGACCTGGGAGCATCCACATGGAGGATCCATGACTTCAAGCCCCACCTGAGCAGCCCAGGGGAGGGAAGGTGAGATGGGATGCAGAGTGCTGGTCTCAGCAGATGACAGGGCATCTGCTGAGAAGCAAAGGGCTCTGCCCCTGTCACTGTGCAGGAGTCACCTGAGCCTGAGCTGCCTCCTCCAGTCCCCACTGTCAGGCAGAAGTGAGGGGTGTGATCCTGCACTCCAGGGGGCTGCTGAGCTGCCGGGCTCTGGGTCAGCAGCTTTCCCCTCACACACCCAGCACATCCCCAGAGGGGGGGCAGGTACTGTAACCCATCATTTGCATCTTAAGGATGTAAAAAAATTGTGGATGCAACTTGGCTATTTGTTCCTGTGAAAGCAAGAAGAGTCCTGGAGACGGTTGCCTGACATTTTTTGCAGATTATTTTTATGCCACTCCTACCCTGAACCAGCGAGGGGAGGTTTGGCTCCACGAGGATCGGGGCATTGAGTCCATCCTGCCCTCTCTGCTTGCAATTCCACAACTAAAACAGGAGCATGGCACAAAGACATCAGTTGCTGTTAACTCAGCTGTATGTGAGCATCATGCAAGAAACACTAACATATCCTTCCTGGGATGTTCTTGTGCTGGATTCATTCCTGACACTGCAGTAAATCCATGAGAAGAACCCCTCTGACATCAGCCAAGCAAGCCAGGGTAAATGAAGGAAGAACTGAGTTATCCCAATGCTGGATCATGCCAAAGGCATTGCTCCCAAAACCAATCCATAACCAAGCCATTTTTGCATCTTATATCACAGTGGCATTAGAAGTGAAACACAAGTTCCACTCTTCCAGCTTGGTTTAGCCTCACATTTCGCAGCTCAGCAGAGATCCCAAATCAGGGGGACAGGATGGCTTTTTATTTAACAATCAGGCAGTTCTTTCTCCCCTCCCTGCCCTGTATTTTACAGGCCCACAAACCCACATACTCTTCATGTCTTCCAGCAAAAAAAAAACCCAAGAGTTGAACTGCGGTGGTACTTCTAAAGTTACACACAGTGCACAGAAGTGCCTTAGCCAGTTACAGCAACTTCATTAAAGCAAGCACCTCACTTACCACAGTCCTCTCTAGCAAGGAGCAAATGAACAGGAGACAACCAACATCCCCACAGCTCCACTCTTTTCCTCCCTTTCCATTTTATCTTCCAAACCTGGCTCGTAGCACTTCCACTTCTCCCCGGCTCACAGGAGCAAAACTGTCTCGCTAGAAATGAACTGCTCAGATCCACGTGGAACTTGGGGAACTGCATCTGACACCCCCTTCCGCAAGTGCTCCCTGGAGGATCCACGTATTGGTAACAAAGAGCGGCCGGTGAGACCCTCGGTTGATGCTGGGGTGGGTGTGAAGCCCCTTTGGCCGGTGGCCACCAGCTGGAAGCAGTTTCTCTGCCGTGGATTAATTTCATGGATGCCAGCGGATAATAACAGCTCTCAGCCACTACCAACCTGGGCTGCTTTGTCGTCTCCCTGCTGTTTTAAAAGAGCTTTCATTCTTGCCACAGAATGTTTGGAGCTGAAATAAGGGGGTGTGAGGGCGGAGAGACAACCCACAGCTACTGGGATCGCATGTGCCAGAGCCTGAAGTCCTCGGGCAGTCTGTACTACCGGGAGCGAGCTTTGTGCATGACCAGCAAAACCTCATTCAAGGAAAGGAAGCAGGAATAATTGCGTGGCCAGACGAGGGGAGAAAACGACCTGTTTAACTTGCTAACCAATTTGTGGCATCTTAATCAATCCGCACAGGGATGGATCACTGGGGCGTCATCCGATGGATGTGAAAAACTACGTGTGCAGGAGAAGCACTGCTGCCCTTCTCTGAGTTAACCCCGTCCCAAAGAGAGGAGAAGAACAGAAGTGGGGAAAGCTGGAGGTGCGCAGACATGTCCAAGCCGGCTGTCTGACCCAGGCCCGGCTCCAGCAGGGCAGGACAACACCCCAGCGGGAGTCACACGGGATGGCCCGAGCACGCGTGGAACCAGCGCCGGCCGAGCCCGGCAGCCCCTCCCCGGCCGGCCCGGTCCAACATCCCGAGGGCTGAGGGGATGCGCTGCCGAGGCTCTGCCCGAGCCGCTCCGGGGGCTGCTAGGTATGGGAACCCCCCTCCCCACGGTCTCTATCGCTGTCCCCCGGGCGGAGCGGGGCCGGGATGTCCCAGCGCCGGCGGACACCCGAAAACACCCCGAAGTGGCCGGTGCGGTCCCTCCGCCCCGGCGGGCGCTTCTTCCGCCCGCCCCGGGGGTCCCCCATCCCCGAACTGCCCCGGGGGTCCCCCAGCCCCGTCCCAGGGACACTCCCCTCCCGTCCCGCTCCCGGCCGGACTCACTTGCTCCATGGCTCCTCGCCGCCCGCTCAGGGGCTCGGCCGCCGCCCCGCTGCCCCGCTGGGCTCCGGGCGGACGGTCATGCCGGGGGTGCCGGGCCGGGCCCCGCCGCTCTCGCCTCCGCAACAACTTCTCGGGGAGCCGGAGCCGCGGCAGCAGCAGCACCGCCGGGTTTCCGGCGGCTCCGGCGCTGCCAGCGAGGAGGCGGGGATGCCCCCGCCGCCGGCCCCGGCCCCGCCGCCGCCGCCTGGCCCGGCCCCCCCGCCTGGCCCGGCCCCGGCCCCCCCCTGCCGCGGGCGTGGGGCTGGGAGCCCCCGGGACAGGCTGGGACTGCGCCCGAGGAAGGGGGACGAACGGGATCCCTGCGCTCAGACGGCGGCTGCGGGGTGGGACATGGACTGTGGGATAGGACAGGATACCCGGGGCGGGACATGGAGCTGGGGTGGGAGAGGTCCCCAGGGTCAGATAGGGTCACTAGGCGTCAGGCCAGACCCCCGTGGTAGGACAGCGTATTTGAAATCGAAGGGTCCCTGAAATTGGATCAGGATCAGGCGGGGTCCCTCGTGTCCATCAGGGTCCCCAGGGTCCAATAGGATACCCAGGGTTGGGCAGGGTCCCTGGGGTCAGATAAGGTCCCTGCGGTCAGGCAGGGTCTCCAGGGATCAGAGCAGAGCCCCGTTGTAGGGCAGTCCCTGAAATCAGCAGGTCCCACAGGTCAGGAAGGGTCCATGAGGTCTGACAGGGTCCCCAGAGATCAGATAGGGTCCCGTGGGATCAGACCAGACCTCTGTAGTAGGACAGTATCCCTGAAATCAGAGACTTCTCAGGATCAGGCAGGATCCTGGGGGTCAGAGGAGGTCCAGGGTGGGACAGTGTCCCTGGGGCTGAGGTCAGGTCAGGTCCCAGGAGCAGCAGGACAGGGAACAGGGTGCAGAGAGGTGAGAGATGCTCCACAAAGCTGGCATGGAGCAATGCCCAGGGCTCACGTGTAGCCACGTGGCTCCCACAGCCATAGCGATGGCTCCTGGCCATGGGGTGCTCTCTGGACAGTGGATTTCAGCAGAGGGGTGATGCCATTCCATTCACCCAAGAAAAACAGCTGGGGAATGGTCTTCAGTGGCAGAACTGGTTAACACAACTAGTCACGCTCAGAGCTATTGTTCTCCACTGGTATTCAGCTTTGCAGACTTCTGCAGCTATTTCAGGCCTGCTGGAGGGCTCATGTACCCAACAGCCTGCCTGGTTTTTCTTCTAATTATTTCAGTCAGTCTAAAAAAAGACATTACCTCCCTCTGCAAACCTTGCCTCCATTGTTCTCAGCAGAGAAAATAAGAGGGAAAGGAGAAGAAAAGTCTGACATCCTCTACCTCCAGGTTAAACCCTCTTCTGCACAGGTATGGCAAGCACTGGGAGGAAAAACAGGAGGCAGCTTCTGCTAACCAGAGGTAGTAGGGATAGCAGAGCATCCATCAGGGCTGGCTACCCCCATCCTGCAGGGCCAGGGGTTAATGGAGGAGCTAGGAATCACCCTGGGACACACCAGGACTTGAAATGAGAAATCCTGGTGCTGTCAAGGCGCGTTGACAGGAAAATGATTGCCATGTCAGCAGAAAGATATCCCACATGGGAGGGAGCAGCTAATAGCTGTGCTGGGTTTTGACAAGAGGCTGAGGCACCAAACACACTCAGAAAAGCAAACGGAGGACAGACAGTGTCTAACTGGCTGTCACTGGTGTGAGTGGGGAGAGAAGATCAAGAGGGGGAATCCATCACGCTGACCGCCATGGTCGGGGCATTGCCCACACACTGCAGTCACCCTCCTTCTCTCACCTGCAAGATTTTGGGGCAGGACCCCCCCAGTTTGCTTTATTTGCACAGGGCTGCAGGAGCAGCAGGGACAGAGAACTAGAGCTCCTAAGAGAAACTACACACAAATAATTATTAGTGATAATTAGCAAAAGCACACTGATGACATCTCCTTCCTATCAGCTTAGCTCCGGGTTTGGCAAAGGCTCTGGTCTCGCTGAGACGTCCTCTTGTTGTGTAAACACCTTCTGTGGCCTCCCCTGCTTCTCCTCCATGGTCAAGAGCCAAAGTGGGCAAAGAAAATGCTGCCATGAACGTCAGTGATGGCATAGAGAGGCCTGGCCAGTAGCCAGGAGGGTTGTGAGCATCCTTCAGATTCCTCCTTTACCCAGCACAACAGGCACCTCTGAGAGATATGACAAGAAAATCATCATTCAGAGCTGTCACCAAGCCAGGGTTAGCTCTCTGCTGCCTAAGACCAGATGAGAGCTGGTTTAAAAACATGTTTTCTTGTTTGATTTTCCGAGCCATCAAAATGGGGCTTTGGGTGGGGGGTGGGAGCATCCCAGCTCACCTACAGCCTTCTCAGTGGGAGTGTGAGAGCAAGACAGGGTGTCACAGTGCTGAGTTTGGCTCCAGGATGGTGCCAGACATCACAAAATGAACAACTGAAAAAAGGTGATAATTTAGCCAGGCTTTTAAAATGACCGAAAAAAGACCCAAAGTACCAGAAATGTTGTTCAGTAATCTCTGTTTTCCCGGCAGGGCTGGAGGAGGTGAGGGGAAACCTCTGGCTGCACAGATAGGGTGTGGGCTGTGGTTCCAACTCTTCTGGAAAATTTTAATCGGTCAAAAAGTGGAGAATATTTTTAGCATGCCATCAACGTGCATGTGAGGACATGTGTGCTGTAAGAGCATGTGCTGCAGAGGCCACATCCCTGGGATTTATCAGCTATCCTCACACTTGCAGGCAGACCTGGAGAGACCCACTGTGATCCCACCAGCAAGAATGCAAGAGCAGCTGCTGCAGGGAGACCTGTCATATATAAGAGGATGCTCAGTGCAGAAGAATATGGAGGTTGGTCCAAAAATGCTGCAGGGAGAGGCTTTGGGCACCTGTCTGCAGGTGGGTCGGGCTGCCCTGTTGTCTTCTTCACTGATAAGAGATGGTGGAATGCTGCTGCCACAAAATCAAACAGAGTCACGAGTGACGCCAGGGAGGGTGGGCTAGTGAGTCACAAACTGAGGAAGTTTCCATGCAAGGGGACCCATGAGTCCTCCTGTTCCACACCTCACTGTCAGCATTTGGGGTCTGGGAAAACTTGGGAGGCAGAATGCAGAGGAGGATGGGGGTGCCAGCTGCTCTGGCCGCAGAGACACAGCTTCCCCAAAGCTGAGACAGGACCGGGATGGGTGGGGAGTCCCTCCTGCCATCCCAAACGTGGGCAAACCAGTCTCTCCAGCCACAGACACCACATGAGAAAGCTGTGGTTGCCCTCGTGTCTACCTGCCATCCTTTCCCTGCTCCAGGCAGGGAGCTCCGGCTCCTGCATCCAACCCGAGGTACCTCGTGACCAGGGTCAGCCACTCCACCTGCTCTCGCCTTGGTTTTCCTCCACCTCAAATGGCAATAACCCATCTCCGAGGTGCTGTGTAGCCAAGTTCATTAGTGCCTGGCTTCGTTAATTGCTTTCAGCAGGGCTGGAAGAACAGAGACAGAATTATGGCAATTGCCCTGTTATCTGCTCATCTTTGGGGAGGAGGAGGTGGACATGCGGTGAGGCTGGACCGCAGTGCTGGGCTCACTGTGGCCACAGGGCTCCTGCTCTGAGCTGGAGGAGAAATCCTCAACCCCTTCACATGCACAGCAAATTAATGTGGATGCTCTTAATTTCATCTGTTTGGTTGGGGCTAAAATAAAGAGGCCCAGAAAAAGTGCTGAGTCTGAATGGATGCTCAAGGGTAGGGCTGAATTCAGGCTCTTGATGCCAAGTAGAGCCCATGGCACCTTCTGCTCACAGCTGCAGTGTGTTTGTAGGGGTAAACCATTTCTCAGGTGGAGCACAGTCCTCTAAACTACATGTGCTAGACAAGAACTGTGAAGGTGGCCACATCCTTGGGTGATGCACAGGGAATTAACAGCTGCAGAGGCTAAAGGAGATGGGAGACCACAGATAAGGGGCTAGCATGGAAGAAGGGCTCTCCTCACCTCCCTGTCTGCTTTCTGGGTTTAAATGTTTTGTTTCATGGACAAACCATCTGACAGGTTGGTGTTTACAGTCACAGTCCCTACCGCAGCAGGGTAATCGGAGTTAGCACGCCTGGGCTGGGGTTTTGCCAAAGTCCTGGTTCTACCTGTTTTCCTCTTGGCTGATACTAGTCCAAGGTTCTGCCCAAATCAAACCTGGGCTTTCCAGCCACTTGTGCTCCCTATTTTAGTTACACGTTTGAAAGAGAAGACCCAGCTATCTGCCACAGCCATCAGCCTGCAAGTGCCTGCAGGAACTCGTGTGCTCTCCCTGCTGATCTTGCTGGTTTTGTAAGGAAAAGCAGTCCTGCAGAGGACATCTGGTGCTCACAGGAGGGACAAAGCAGATCCAAAAGTGTGGGTAAGGAGGTCACTTGCTGGGGAAAAATGGGGGAGGTGAGTGGTTTAAGGGATCTTAAAGCCATCAGTGAGTTGAAGGAACATGGCCAAGCCTTGTGGCATAATGGCAAGTGGGCCATGAGCTGCTTTGTTCTCTCTTCTTCCTTTCTGTTTTAACTCAGTGTTAGCAGTCTGCCCTGCCAAAAGGCAGCGGGGGCAGTCTGGAAGAGGTGCCCAGTGATGTCAGAACATCGCTGCTGGTGTCCAGGTGATGTCCATGGTCTGTGCATGGGCAGGACAGGTGGGAAGAGGTGAAGAACCTGGTGGGTGAGAGCTCAGGATGACTGTCCCACTCCATTGCTGCTTGGGGTGAGTGGGAGCAGTGTGGGGCTGGAATAGGAGGTGGCTTGGATTGCCCATTCTGCCTTTAATCCTCAAGTCTTTTGCAGCCAGGGAGGTGTCCCACATACTGTAGGCAAAACCCAATCCCTGTGTAAATGGCTTGGAGCAGCTTCCCACATCCCTCATCTCATCACTCTGTGCCTGGGGCAGTTGCCTCTGGGCTTTCCCAACAGCTCTGTGCTGTTCCTCGCCTTCACTGACGTTTCCAACAACGACAAAATACGCCAAAAATAACCCCTGCTCTCTGGCAGGAAGGTAGGATATAAACACACTGACTGTTTGTTAGTGTTAGTGTGTGCTGGGCTTTCAAGCCAGGCTGAGCTTGGGGGGGATCGCTTCCTGCACCACAGTCCTGACCTCCCACTGCCTCCCTACTCTGTCTAGGCCGGGGAGCTCCCCAAAACACCTCTGCTCGGTGCATGCCACTTTGAGAAGGTGAGGCTGCAGTCCTGGAGGTGCTGGAGGGACTTTTCTGGATGAGGTTAAGGTAAGGCAGCATCTCTGGGTGCATCGCAGCTACAAGCTTTCCTCTGAGAAATGCAACACTGGGGTCCTACTGGAGCTGCTGGGATATATATATATATCAATACTATATATATATATGTATATATATATATGTGGTAATACCCTCAGAACCTGATATTTACTATGATAAGAAGAAAACCATCAGAGAAGTGTCATCTGGCACCCGTGGCACTGATGACACCAGGTAATATGATGCTGCTTTGTGTGCTCTTGCTCTCAGGGCCCTCCCTGACCATGTCCATTCTCACATCCCTGCCTTATTCCTGGGGACAAATCCTGCTCCTGATTATGCCCAGTGCCACCTCTGAGGCTGGCAGGTGCCCTCTGTGCTGGCAGGGGAGCAGCTGGGGACGTGCCAGCTGTCCCTGGGCACGCAAGGACCTGCTGTTTTTGGGGAGCGATGATTTGCACAATGAGTGGTCATGGAGTTTGGCTAAAATTATGGTCTCTGTCATTTGGATGAGCACGTGGGGAACAGAGGGAAGCCGCAGAAGGGGTTAAATCAATAGTTACATTTAAATCAATAATCTGATTTATGCTTCTGTCCCAGTGATGCTGCCTTCCTTTGTCCCCTGGTTTGAGGGCACAAACCTCAGTGGCTGATTCTGAGCCAATGTTTCTGTTGTGAACATGGATTTTGACACACACGCTGCAGGATTTGGTCTGGTTTGTTGATTTTTAGGGGTAGACAGAAAGCAAAAATGAAGGAAAAACCTGACCATGGCTGGGAAAATCGTGTCTCTGGAACAGGGTTCCAGGGTGATGCTTTTCCTGAAGTGCCTCATGCAGCAGCTGCAGATATGAGCTGAGCCTTAGAGTGAGCAGGGAGGGGAGTGAGATTTATAGCCATGCCCTGGTTGTTGTGGTGACTCATGAGGTAGGATTGGATCAAGTGAATTCTGTAGAATTTACAGCAAGTAAACACTTTCACATGCAGGGCTTATTGTGTTGGCCTGTTGTGTCCAACAGGTTCTGGAGGTATTGCCCTTGGCTGAGCAGCCAAGGTGAAACAGGGAGTGTGAAACACTCCCCTGTGGTGGGTTTTCCTCCTGCCATGGGCTCATCCCTCTTTAACCCAGCGGTAAGGTGGTACTGGGACCATGAGCACTTTGCACCCCTCTCCCAGCGCTGTGGCCACCTCCCAACTTTTCCAGTGAGGCCAAGACCTTGGTGACCAACTGCCCAGGTCACAGCTGTGCCAGTGTCCCACCCTAGTGATGATCCAGCACAGACACATGGATGAAACCAGCTGTGGGACTCAGGATAAGGTCTGGCCGAGAAGAACACATGGGAAGTATTTCCTTTCTAAAACTGCAAAATGTAATTAATAACCATTATGAGTCTGAGAGGGGACAGGAGAGGGGCTCAGACTTTCTGACAGCCACAACCTTTGCAGTAACGCCCATCTCAGCAGCCTGATGTGCTACTGGCTCGCTTGCTGCCTCCAGCATCCCTACCGCTCAGTCTCCAGCATCCTTGCCCCATCGTCCCTTCAGCCTTTCCCTTCAGCTCCATCCCCTCATTCCCCCGCATCCCGAGCCCCCGCTGCTCCCCGGGCAGCTCCGGCAGCAGCCGCTGCCCTTCCTCCCGCCCTTCCTCCTCCCCGCGGCGTGGTGCCATCCCCACCTAGTGCCGGCCCGGCGCACCGGCCGCCGGTCGGGGCGAAGACAGGGATAGGATGGAGCTCCCCGGGCTCGGGGGGCCGTGGCACATCCCCCACGCCCTCGGCTGCACCCAGACACCCGTGGCACGACCCCGCGGGGAATTTTCCTCCCCCGGGCCCGAGGGATGCTCCGGGGTAAAGGAAGAGTAGGAGAAAACGCGCTGATTATCCTCTGCACTGCTCCGGGGGATGGGTACAGGCAGAAGCCACCACGGACCCTGGGGATTTTTGCCTCTTCACGCCCCATCCCGCATCTTCGGAAAAGGGAATGTTACCCTTTCCAGCTCTGGAAGCTCACGGCAAGGGGACAAAGAACAGGGCCATGTCCCAGCCCCACTCACTGAGGGCCGGTGATGGATCCCATCACCGGGGATGGACCCCCTCGGGCATCGCTCTGGGGATGCTCCTGCACATCACAGGTTCGGAGTCCTTATCAGTGGCATTTCCCAAGGACAAGTCCACATGGACCCCACATGTCTCAGCACCCAGGGAGCATCACCTCCCTTGGTGCCCCCAGACCCAGTGAGGACCAGCTGTTGATGTCCAGGGGTGAATGTGAGGGCAGTGAAAGCCTTCAGCAATGCCCCCTGTACCAAGTCTTCCCTTGCCCCTCTCCAGCCCATCAGGGACTCCCAGAGCCATGATGTTTTCAACTTTCTTTCTCTCTCTGGCTCCTCAGAACTATGAAGAGATTCACACCTGCCCCATCCCTGTGGCCAAGGGCTGTTTTGCCCAGCCACTGCCCAAACCCCACCTCCCTTGGGCTGTCCAAGCCACCCAGGGCATCCAGAGGCACCTCCTGCTCGCCTGGGACAAGGTGGAGAGCAGCCATCCCCTGCTCAACCACGCCAGCCTCCCTGGGCTTGCAGCATCCTCCATCCAGTACAATTTTGGTTGGATGGAGCCTCTACATGTTGCTGCATCCAGTCCTCAGAAGGAAGTGGCTCTTTGCACTGAAATTTTCCATAATTTTGCTCTTCTTTTTGTGCTTTCCTATCTTTTGTCTGGCTCTACCACCCCCAGGCCGTTGCACAGGCACTTTCCTCAGCTCCCTTGGATGCTGGGGCCTTGCTGTCCCAGCCCCATGGGAGATATCAGGGTATCAGCCTGATATCCCTGGCTCAGGGGTACTCAGAGGTGGGGGGGGATGCTCTGCCAGGGGGATGCTCCCACTTGCCCACGAGGTGCTATAGACAGCTGAGAACATGCTCAGAAATTTGCAAAGACCACAGGAAAGCATGGGAAAGATGGACTGCAGGGTGGGAGAGGAGGCAGGAAGAAAGGAAGATTAAGGGGCGATGTGGCCTCCTTCATATTTCCTGATGAAACAAGGAAAAAGCCCAACACTGCCCCTATTTTGCCTTGGAAAACCCCTTGCAGCTCAACCCTGAAAGCAGGATTCAGCAGCTCAGAGTAACTCAAATGTTTCCTCTGCTGCTTTAAAGAAAATGTTGGAACAGAGCGGGCTTAAAGCCTGCTGAAGAGGCCCATTTATCTGGGAACTGAAAGAAAATATTGGGATAATATTTGGAAAAGCCTGTGAATGGGCATGGCCCAGCATGTGCCGGGCAGCAGCAACCTGCAATCTGCAGGGGGAGAAGCCACCCTCTGTGTGTGGTTAATTTTCCCCTTTTCCCTCATTTCCTTCCCATTTCCTTCCTGGCTCTTTTGCTGTGCCTAGGCGGGTCCTTGAGGTGTTTCCCACAGGAGAGTGGTAGTGCTGGAAGAAAAGGGGATTTTTCATGGGCAGGATGGACACAAACCCTGCCTGGTCTGAGTATCCTGGGGGTGCTGGTGGGGAGAAGGTGTTTCTTTCCCCTGGTTAACAACCAAGGCTGATCTGCAGGACTTGCTTAATCAGATATCACTGAAAACCAGGTTGATTTCTGCCTAATTGGTCAGTAATAACCATTTAATTGGCAAAGCTGCAATGAAGCTGCAGCCCCCCCTTTCCCAGGGCCATTAGCAGCATCTATTTTAACATTTCAAGCCTGGCTGGGATTCAATAAATGGGTTTTGATAGGGTTTTTTCACATTTAAAAACATTAATGTGTGTTCAAAATTCGACTGGACATCTCATTTGGCTTTGAAGTATAATTATGCTTGATGAGGACTAATAAGCAGCTTTCAAAATGAGACCAGGTTAGCATCTCTCCTGCCGTCTCCTGCCGGGAAGCCAATATTCCCCAACAGCTGATTTTTATGGGACTAATACAGACACATCCAGCGCTCCATAAAACCCTGCTTTGCCTTTGACTTTCTTTTTAAGGGTCTTTTTCCATTCAGGATGGGGTTTTATTGCTGTGGAGTTTTGCTCATTGCAGTATTTCCCTCCGCCACGGGTTTTGAGGTGCTTTTGCAGGATGGAAAGGGCAATTTGCTGAAAACAGACTTTTTTACCTCCCATTTTCCAGCCTCACGAGGAAGGAAAATAAACACTGGAAGTAGGTTTTTTTCAATGTGACAAAGGGAAAACTCGTAGCCCCAAACTGACCCCAAGACTTGGGGCTTTGGTGTTGGCTTGAAGCTTGGCTGCAGGCTGAAGCAGATGCTGCCATTCCCTGGCACAGATGATGGTTGATGGTTGAACTGGTGTCGAGGTTGGCCCTGCTCTAGCAAAGCCTGCCCTAGGTGGAGCTGCTTCTCTTCAGCATCGCGGCCGCCCAGAAAACCCTGGATCCCATCTGGCTGCCCAAATACCTCCTGCCTGCAGCTTCTGAGCAGGGCTCAGGCAAAAGAAAACCCACCCAAACTGTGGGTTTGTGTTTGTTTTCCGCTCTCCCCCATTGAAATTCCATGCCAAAGGTAAGCTTGCTTGGCGATTAGGCTTTGGCAAGTCTTGCTATGCTGCCGAAACCTCCAGGAACGCCCTTGGTGAGCCCCAAGCATGCTCTGCCACTGGGATGGGGAGTGAGTGCTGGCTTGTTGGGGATCGTGGGGACATTAGCCCACAAAACACTCCCTTCTCTGCCAAAAATTGTCCCTTCCCAAGGGGATCTCTCCTGTCCTTTACCAACATGGTGATCCCACCCATCACTCCCACAGTCGTCTCTCTGGCAAAGCTGCTGCTAACCAGGCTCTGAACCCCCAGATTCCCAACTGGGTCAAAATGCTCCCAAAACCCAAAGGTGACAAAGGAGAAAACCTGTCCTGTTCCGTCCTGGCACTGCCAGGCACGGCTCTGGGGGCTGGCAGAGGGGTTAATGGCCCCCAGCCAAAAGCTGTGGGGGAAAGACCTTTAGTCAGGAGCGCTTGTTGCTTGGACAGCTCTCCTGCATTTTTTTCCGAGGCATTTTGCAGCAATTAAAGAGCTGCAGGTAAATGCCAAACCCCAGAGCTTGGTGAAGGTGCCAGCTACTCTGCAGTCAGGACAGACCCGGCCACTGACTCCAAGCTGACCATGTTCCAGTCCTAAATAGCTGCTTTTCAGGGACAGGTGGGTCACAGCAAACTTTATTTTTCTGGAAACAGCAAGTACATTGTGCAGAGCAGGCTTTCCAAGGATGCTCCCCACACCCTTTTCAGGAAATACCACGCAGCTCTCCTTCGTGCCATGCCAATTTTTTTTTTTAATTGGCATAAATGATAGCCTCGGCAGGGACACGCCGTGTTTTCCCTGGGCTGTAGGATTTTATTTTGAAATCACTGCTGGTTTGATCTTTGCATCTCTCCACCCCCAGGCTCATCACTCTCTCTCTGTGTTTCTGCTCCCAGTGCTTGCTCTGGTGCAACAGGGTTTGCTGGGAAGTGGAAAATGCACTGGGGGGGCTCATCCCGTGCCAGTCACAGCTGGATCCTTGGGGACATCACCCGACCTGGAGACGTGAAATCTGTGAAATAAAAGATTTGAGTTTGATCTGACAAAGCCACCACAGCAAGCAGAATGTGGTCATCCCTGTCTGGCGACCCCCAGCTCTCCCTGGAATCCAATTTTTGATCCCAAGTCCAGCCCTGGAATCATCATTCCAACAACAATGGCTGTGCTTCCTTTGGGGGAACCCGAAATAGCCTCCCCCTGCACAGTGACAACACGTCCCCCACGCAGCGCCGGTGTAACCGGCTTTTCCAAGACCTGCTATTCCAGGGGTGGGGTTGAGTTGGCCACAGTTTATTACCAGCTCCCTCTTGGCTCCAATGCTGTTCCCTGGTATGGTGCTCTTGGATGAAATGGGATGGTGGCAGCAACCAGGAGAGGAGGAGGACGGGTTCCTACCTCACATGTGGATGTGTCATGTGAGGTGGGTGCCACCAGGGCACATCCTTGGGGTATCCTCCCTCTCCAAGCACCCTCTCCTTGAGGATAAGCCCTTTTGCACCCCAAGTATTCCAAAACACAGTGAGTGGGAGCCAGGACAGCTCAAGTGCAGCTCCACAGGGATACAGCGGGAGCTGGAGCATCTCCCCATCCCACCATGCCTCACTTGGGCATTTCCTTCCTTGCCCTAATTTCCAAAATAACAGTAAACCCAAAAACTATTTGAGATGGGTGAGAAGGTCTGGGTTTGTTCCCTTTCAATTCAAGACCAATCACACAGGCAATTATTTTAACTTATTGATTTTCCCACCCTGTGAATGTCTGCGCTGGGCCTGGCAGTCCCCAGAGCGCCCTTCGGCCACTGGGCTTCAATTGTTTCTAAAATTCCAGATCTATCTTTTGGATATTTTTACAGGCCTGAGTGCATAGTGGGGCCTTTCTCTTTTATTTTTTATTACTAGCGTTTTTACCAGGATGACATTTGGACTAGGCAGGAAAATCTACTTGCCTGCTACGCCAGTACCTGACAATCAAGATTTAATCTTTCGGAGAGGAAGAACGCGTCAGATGGGAAAAAAAAAAAGAAATCCAGATATCTGTGAAATTGCAGGAAAGCGGAGCAGGAGGAGCTTGCAGGAAATCTCCAGCCCAGCCTGGAGCAGTGCAGTGACTGCGCAAGCCCTGACCATCGCCGGACAGATGTTGGTCTAATTACAGCTAAAACCTCTGGCACTGGGGATGCTCCGCTTCCCGTACCCTGAGAGTATCATAGCAGCCGGCCAGCCTCTCTAATCCCCAATTTAAATCCCTCTGGCTGCTGCCTTCAGTGCTTGGAAGAGGTGCTGGATGGTAGGAAACCATTGGCACATCCTCCTCGGTCATCCCTGTGGTTCTGAGCTCTCCCAGCCTGGCAGGAGCCCTTTTTTTCCCTGTAATTCTCCCCGTTTCTCACTGAGAGCTGCCAGGGATCAGAGATTTATAAAATGGGTGTTTCAAGCACTTGGAGATTAATTTCCCTGTGCCTGGGGTATTGTGACCAGGGCTGGGCACCAGCATGGAGCTGTCGCTCATCCCCACCTCCCTGACCTTCCTCCACCTCATCCCCTCCTTCCTCCCCGTCATATTTGATGTCACCTCTTCAGTCTGAAAGCAGTCTAATCCAGATTTAGGAAGGAAAGGAAAAAGGCAGGGACAGGATTTTTCCAGTGGGCACAAATCTCCTGGGAATTCACCCAGGGTTTTCCCAGCTGCAAAGCTGGAGGTGGCTTCGTGGTGACAGTGGTGGCATTGCCAGAGCCTGTGTGCTGTGTGACACATCAGCCACGGGGATGATGCTTCACGGCAGCTCCAAATCTTATTTTCCACTGGCAAGTTTCACCATCAGCTCACTCGTGTGCAGGATTTTACCATTAATACTCCCAAAACCATCTGGCCACTAGTGAGTCTGGGGTTATTTTAACACCTAAAAGGACGAGGAGAGGAAAAAAAAAGTTTGTTTGAGATGAGTGAATATAAATGGAAAACTACTGATTTCTCCTTCAGATTTACAATTCCCTGGAGTGGAGCAGTGACAGCAGTCGAAAGCCCTGTGCTTTGCAGTCGCAGTGTGCCAGAGTGAGCTACGGAAAGATGTTGGAGCCATTGTGCTGCTAGACAGGTTTGAAAGCTGGTGTTAATGAACTGGTGTTAATGGGCTGGTGTTAATGGGCACCCTGATGGCAAGAAGTAAGCGCTGGAGCCGTGAAGGGGTTGGAGCTGGAGGGTTCTTCCACGTGGGCTGTCACCAGGGAGCGAAGAGTCAAGCTGCAGCAACTCCTCGGTGCAGACAAGATCCTGAACCACATGGCTTTAATTATGCCAGCGCAAATTTCGCTCATTTGGCTAAGCCTGGGAGCTACAGAAAGAGCTATTTCCAGGTGTGCTGGTTTAATTACCGCATGCCCTGGTTTGCCCACCGCGCGCAGCTGCAGGGCCGGGGTTTGTCGGGCTCTCCAGGCGCGCCGGGACACATTCGCAGCCATCAGCACAGTGATGGCCCCGCTCACGCCTCTCTCTGCACGTCCCTGGGACACGCACACGGGCTCCCCTTGGGTCAGATAAATGGGGTTTAACCTGATTTTTGCTGTAATCTCCATGTCGACAGGCTCTCAGCACGCACAGGATAAAACCCCAGCTCCTGTGGCTGCGGGGTTTCACTGGGCAGCTCCCGCCAGCCACGCTGGGGGGCCGGCTGGTCGATGTCCCCGAGCCAAGTGGCCGCCCTGTCCCGGCATCCCGGGGGTACCTCTGGACCGTGTGTGTTTGCAAAATAGCTTTTGTTTGCTTAACTCCTTGCACTGGAGCAGGCAGAGGCACAGCTCCCACCGCCCCGTCCCTCCTCCGCAGGCAGGGACAGGGTGGCAGTCCCGCTGCCCAGGGCAGTGCCAGCCCTGCCATCCCACCCCTGGAAAAAATAGCACCTTTTGAGAGCCTTATTTGTACTTTCCTTTTCTGAACCTGCCTTAAAAAGAAGGGCTCGGTTTTCAAAGAAAATGCATTTAAATGACGTTCTTCCCTGCCCGTCCAGCTCTCAGCTATAATCTTATTGCCGTACGGAGCAACGAGCGTGAGTGGGACGTGGTGGGATTTTAACTGTAATTCATGGGCAGATATAAAACTGCCAGGATTATTATGAATTTTATTCAGGAGAATTTAAACGTTACTGGTTCAGCAGTGCCTCTTCCCGTGCTGCCTTTGCAGCAGCTTCTGTTTAACCTCCAGGCTGGCAAAATTTATTGCATCGTTGGTGTCTCACTGTAATTCTCCAGGTTTTCAAATAATCCCAGGAAAAGAGTTAAACTGGAGCCTCTGCGTTAGTCTACATCCATTGCAAAGCATGTGGGGCCAAAGTCTGTTTTTCCTGACACCCCTGGTAAATCCCATGGGTTCATCTGGGAAAGTTGCCACTCTGAATTTCAAAATTATGCCGGTGGGAGAGGGGGCAGGAGCTGTGCAGGGACTGGAGAGCACCAAAACTGTGGCAATCAGTGCTTGGGTAAGGCTCTCACCCCCTCACTTGCTGTTGCAGGCTGAGCTGCAGACTGCCAGATCCACAATAGGGCACAAGGTTTTACTGGTACCAGTAACTATTTCCCAGGCTGATACACTGGGAGTTGTGGTCAACGGCCTTGGGATGGAAGGTTTGGGATGCAGGATGTGGATGGGTTTTATTTTCAATGGGCCACTGTAGTGGGGTGGGGAGTGCTCCTGGACATGGATTCAGCCTAATTCTCCCGGGATTTGCCTATTTTTCACCACCTAACACAGAGGTGATGAGGTTTTGCACCTCCTCAAGGCAACCCCTTTCCCATCTCCACTCCCTTTACTTCAGAAAGCTTTTCCCACCATCAGACCCTAAATCTTCCCTGCTGCCCCTGGAGCCCATCCCTCCTCTGCTCCTTGTGGAGATACTTCAACCCTCCTTTGCACCCCCTGCCGACAGCAGCAGCCCCCACAGATCTTACCCAGCAGAAGGAGGTGATGTTGTGAAACCAAAGGGGTTTCTTTCATCTATTCTCACCTCTCCTGTGGCTCTGCCCCTCTGCATCATGCGTCGCACACGTAGCACACCCGGCACCCGCCAGCCCTGCTCATCCATCTCACACACCTTAATCAATGGAAAACTCGAGGAAAAGCCCATAAACCAGATGGCAAGTGAGGATTGGATTTGCAATGTGCTGGTACTAATGGAAACCATCCTTCACCACGTAATCAGAAGGAATGGCCACGCACAACCCATCACTTCTGTCCAGGTAGCACAAGGGGTAGCCCTGCAAGGACATGTGGGATGATGAGCCCTGGAGGCTCCAGCGTTCCCATGTGCCATCACTGATATTCACAGTGATTTCCAACAACAGCTTATGGTGGGCAGAGTCCCCAAATTCCTCTTTGCCCTTGGCAGCAAATTGTCTCATCGTTAGTGCAAGCACAACACACTCTGCACACAGAAACCCTCCAAATCCCCACTTCCTACTATTTCTAATTTCCCATGACATGCCTGTCTGTGGCACAGGGGCTCACCTCCGTCTGCCTCTCTCCATAGACTTGCTGCCTGCAAACAGGCCAAATCCAGCCCAGTGCAGGAGCTGCCGGAGGATTTTGGCCCTGTCTGATGCAGAACAGGCTCCCTATAAATTTCTCTCGGATTAATCTCACTGCTGAGCTGGGAGCACTTCCCTATTCCCTCGGGCTGCCACTACCTCACCTGCCTACTGCCAGGGCTGCTACAAACTGATGGCAATAAGACCATGATTTTCCTCTCCAGTTCCAGTGTTGGGACATATGATGTGCTCAGTGCCCCCCTTCACCCAGCCCGTGTCCCCTTCCTGCTGCTGGCATTGCTTTCCTGATGCTTCCTTGCCATCCCACACCCAGGTGGGATTTGCAAAGCTGTTTGGGGCTTGGGAAGGTGTTTGCATTCAGATGGATGAGGCCGAGGGCTTGTGCTCCAAATGCCACTCGAATCTGTTCAGGGACTGGAAAACAGACAACACCCATTCTGGGAATCACAGCCACTCTGAGACCATCCAGGCTGGAGCCTGTGGATGCAGCTGCTCATTGCCAGAGCTGTGGAAGACCTGGGTGCATTTCCAAAGCTCCGGCTTGATTCAGGTGAAGCTCTGGTGTGATGAGAGTGAAGTTCTGATATGATGCCAGTGAAACATCCCTTCATTTAGGGCAGTTGTCAGTTTGCTGCCCGGCTCGGCTGGCGCTGGCAGGGAGGGCTGTGGAGCAGAGCATCACCCACCCGCTCCCAAGCCTGGCCTTTGTATGCACCGCCACCTTCTCCAAACAAAGCCCATTTTCTAATACCCCACGAGGTCTCTGCTATTCCCTGAACGGCCTCCTTGGGAGGCAGAGTCAGCACTCCAGCTCTTCTGCCCATGCCCACGGCTCCTGGAGGTGCCCCTCAGGCCCACCTCAGCCAGGCTTGCCCCAGATTCCTGCCCCAAAACCCTCCCCACCAGGCAGCCCCTCCTGGCCTTTTTCCTGAGCCCATGAGGAGCTGGCTGGGGGTCGCCTGGGGATGTAGGAGGGTGCCAGGGGCATGGGGGTAATGGGGGTGGTGGGGGTGGAGGGGAGATGTCCAGGGAATGTGGGGGGCAGTGCTGCAGGGATGCAGGGGGAAGTGCAGTGGGAGATGTCTGTGCGGGTAGCGCAGAGGGGTGGGCGAGATGCCTGGTGGGATGCTGGGGGAATGGGGGTGGGGGAGATGCGGGCAGCATGCTGGGGAGGGCAGTGCCAGCGGGTTGCAGGGAGACAAGGGGGGAAGGAGGCTCAGGATGGCTACCCAGGGGGTGCAGTGGGCTACCTGGGGAGTGGAGCTGGGGGATGCATGATGGGATGGCTGAGGGGATGCAGCAGGAATACCGGGAGTGTCTCTGGAGCTTGCAGGGGTACCTGGGGAACAGAGTTGGGAGGATGCATGGGGGGCTGCCCAGGGAGGATGCGGGGGCACAACAGACAGTGCCGTGGGGTGCAGGGGGAAACCCGGAGGGCAGTGCAGTGCTAGGGCATGCAGAGGGATGCAGAGACTCCGTCCGAAGGGTGCCACGAGTTACCTGGGGAGCAGAGCTGGGGGAATGTATGGGGAGCTGACTAGGAGGATGCAGGGTGGGTGCTCAGGGGGATGCAGAGGAGATGCCCGGGGGGAAGTTGGGACACAAAGGATCATGAAGTGGGGTGCAGGGGGGAACCCGAAGGGCAGAGCTGGGGCATGCAGAGGGATGCGGGCAGATGCAGAGGGATGCAGGAGGCTGTCCGGGGAGCAGCACTGGGGCGAGCAGAAAGGACGCAGGGGACACAGGGGGTTGTTCGGGGACACGCAGGGGGAGCCGGGGGGGGTTCCGGGTAGCAGCACCGCGGCATGCGGGGAGGATGCAAGAGGCTGTCCGGGGAGCAGCACCGGGACGCACAGAGGGGACGCAGGGGGTTACAGGGTGTTGTCCGGAGGTACGCGGCGGGGGGACGCAGGGCCATGCGAGGAGAGGTCCGGGGCGCTGCCGGAGGCAGGCAGGGGGTCTGCAGAGGTGCGCGGGGGGGTTTCCGGGGAGCAGCGCCGGGCACGCAGCGGGGCTGCCCGGCGGCGGGCGGGGGGGACGCGGGGGGGCCGTGCCGGGGGCCGCCCCGTCCGCCCGCTCTCCCGGGCCCTCCCCGCCCCCCCCGAGCATCCCCCCGCCCCCGCGGGCTGCGGGGCCGGTTAAAAGGCGCAGCGCCCCGCTCCGCCCAGCCCGGCCCGGCCCCGCACCATGCCCGCCGCCGGCCCCGGCGCGGGGAGCGCGGCCGCCCCGCCGCCCGCCCGCCTCTGCCTGCTGGCCCTGGCGCTGCCGCTGGCGCTGCCCGGGCGCGGGGCCGCCGCCGAGCCCGCCCGCACCGTCTACACCAACCACTGGGCCGTGCGGGTGCGGGGGGGCCCCGCCGAGGCCGCCCGCCTCGCTGCCGCCTACGGGTACATCAGCCTGGGGCAGGTAAGGGACGGCGAGGGGCAGCGGGGGGCTCCGGGCAGCGGGCAGGTGCGGGGGCACCGGGAGCGGGATGCGGGGGGGTCGCACTGGGGGCTGGCGGGAGGGATCGGGGAGCTGCCGGGGGTTTGCGGGGAGCCTGGGACCGGGGAGCTGCCCGGGGTCTCACACCGCGAGTCCCGGGACCGGGAAAGCACTGGGAGGACCAGGAGCAGAGAGTAGCCGGGGGTTCCGGGAAGCTACCGGGGGTCTCGGCACCAGGGAGGCGGCGGCGTCCCGGAAAGCTGCCGGGGGTTCCGGGACCGGGAGCCTGCGGCAGATGCTGGGAGCTGCTGGGGCTCTCGGTGCCGGGGAGCTGCCCGCGGTCTCGCACTCTGGGTCTCGGCACCGGGAAGCTGCCGAGGGTCCCGGGACCGGAGAGGCGGAGGGGGTCCCGCGGAGCTGCCGGCACTCCCGGGACCGGAGCGATGTCGGGAGATGGATCCTGGGCTCTCCTCGCTGCCGGGGCTCCCGCTGAGCTGCGTGGTCTCCCGGGACCGAGGCGGTACCGGGCGTCCCAGGACCGGGAGATGAGCCCCGGCAGACCCCCGGAGCGGTCGGGATGAGGATGAGGACGATGCGGAGACGCTGGTGGAGCGCTTTGGCCTGGGGGCAGCCCCAGCCCCGCTCCCCCCCGGCTGAGTGCCCCTCCTCGAGGTGCCCTCGCCCCGCACCGCCGGGGGGGTTGCACAAGTTCCTCCCACCCCGGAAAGTTGCATTTATGGGTTTAACAAACTTTGGACTCTCTGGCCTGGGTTTATCTGAGATTTTGGGAACACGGAGAACTTTTGCTTTCAAGCCCACTCAGCACACGGGTGGCTTAAAGGCGACTTTCAGCACAGCAGCTCGTTTTCCTCTCTATTACTTCATCCTCTGCAATCCCAGATGTGGGCTGGTGTCCTCGGAGTTTCCTCCAGAGTTTATTGCCATGGTGCTTTTTTGGCTGGGAGGCACTTCAGGTTGTCCTCCTGCCCAAGGTGTCTCCTGGACTCCAAATTATAACCTTGCTTTATATCGCAACCCTGCTTTTAACCATAATTAAAGTCACAGGGTGCTGCGTAAACAATCTTTTTTTGGGGGAAGGCTGGACTGGGGATCTTGTCTCCTGTCCCTGTGTCCGTGACCTCCCATGGGGGATAACCCCTCATGTCCCACCCTCGGTGTCCTACCTGCTGCAGTCGGCTCTAGTCCCACCAAGGAGAAAATCTCTTGTATTATTCAAACGCTTCTGTCACAGGGCTGGGCAAAGATGGTTGTGCAACCCAAAGGGCTTTTCAGTGTTTATCCCTCTTCAGCCAGAGAATATCTTGATTGAACTTCCCACTCTCCTGATTTGCATCAGCCTAACGTCAGCTCCTGGTTTGGGGTTTTGCTGTGTCCCTTCCCTGCTGGAGCATCTGTCGCTTCTCCCTCCTTCCCCAGCATCCCGGTTTTCTGAGCTCATCCTTGTGACGCTGGAGGCATTTGGCCTACGGGCACAATGTGTCTCCACTGGAGCATCCATCCCTCCCCTCTGAGCCCTTTCCCGGGGCAGCCCCATGCAGGCTGGAGAGCAGGGGAAATATTTCTGTGCTTGCATCAGGTTGTTCCTGGCTCCCGCCTTTCCTGTGGATACTGGGAGCTCATGCACTGCTGGGGCTTCCCCAGCTGCTCTCAACGCCTTGCCTGCAGCCCTCTGGCTTCTCAAGCCCCTTTGGCTTTTCCCATTGGATCATCTCAAGGGCCAAACCTCAAAGAACCACTTTCCCTGCGCTCATACACTTGTGTGTGACATTTGCAGTGTTGTGCTTGGGGTTTGTGTTGTGGGGGCCTGGGTGTCCCCAGCTTCTCCTGCTGCGTCATCTGCTTGTGGAGCTGCTGGGGATGACACAGTCCCCAGTGAGACAGACCCTCCTGGGAGGCCTGATCCTGCACAAAACCTGCTGGAAAACTCTGCCAAGGGTGTATCACCGTCCCCTGGGGAGATGTTTGGGTGGAGTCCAGTGTGGTGGGGGAGGAGGATGGTCACTGGAGAGGTGATGGTCACTGGAAGGCCCAACTAGGTGCAAGGAGGCTCAGCCCTGTAATGGTGACTGGTGAACTCTTTTCCTCTGAGATGCAGTTCTGGGGACTCCTGACATGATACCGCCTGGGAAAGGCATTGCTGGGGTTGGCACACACAGGTTTGAGCTGTTCCTGTGCCCAAACCACGAACCGAGACACTTCAAACCCTTCTGGGTCATGACAGAGTGACATTTCCCCTGGGGAATCACTTGCGTCAACTTCTATTTGAGTGAAGCAAACAACTCAACAAAAGAAGCAGCTCTTACAGCCCCGAACGCCTGCTCATTCCTCCCCGCCGGGCTTTGTTGGCGGCTGTGCCGGGCGAGCCGGGACAGGCCTGGCCGAGGGCGCTGTGAGGGCTGAGTGTGGCCGGGGCCCTGGGCAGCCACTGCCCGGGGGTGGCGATGAGCCTGTTCCCATCCTGGGTGCAGGGTTTATGCGGATTTTTCCTCGTGTGGTGTCCAACGCTAAGTTTTAGGAGAGCTGGCACAGTCCTCAGCAGTCCCACCTGCAGTGCAGGAGGTGGATGGGATTCGATCTGGGCTGGACTTGGAGCTTTCCTGGATTCCTGTTGTCTGGGAGATGCTGGAACTTGCAGCTCTGGGCTTGATCTTTACTGGGCTGAATACGTCCGTGACCATCTGAGAATTCCTGAAGTTCAGCGGCTTGAGCCCTTGTCCATGATGGGAATGGGTGGTGTCCCCAGGAGGGGAGTGCTTGCAGCCTTCCTAACTGAAAACATCCTCCTGGAAGACACCAGTGCAGCTGCACTTCACAGAGATGGGATGGTTTGGGAAAGCTGCTGGAGGGCTTGCACTGCAGAGCCCTCACTGAGCTGACTCACCATGTGGAGAACAAATACTTTTCCATTTAAAAAAATGGCATTTTTAAATTCTTCTCCTTAGAATACCTTGGGTGGAATGGGGCCTCTGGAGGCCACTGGGACCAACCTCTGCTCAGTCTTTCAAGTTAGACCTAGCACAAGAAGGTTTTTCTTATTTTTTCCCTCTGTAAATCCCAGGAGGATAAAGAACCTGGGGCACAGGGTGCTTTCCCTGCTGCTCTGGCCATGTATCCCCAGAGCCTGTGATGGGGTCATTGCCCTCCCTGTCCTCTTGCTGATTTGCATCACATGGTAATTTTGTGTTTATTTGCAAAAAGGAAGGAAGAAATCTTTCGCTTAGGAAGGAATTGTTTACTCTGGGCATGGTGAGGCCCTGGCACAGGTTGCCCAGAGAAGCTGTGGCTGCCCCATCTCTGGAAGTGTCCAGGGCCAGGTTGGAGATGATCTTTAAGGTCTCTTCCAACCCAAGCCATTCCAGGATTCTATGGAAAGCCCTGTGCTTTCATTTCCAGGCAAAGTGAGCAAGAGACAAGGTGGCCTTGCTCAAGGTTTCCCCAAAACATGGAGAAGCTGAAGCATTCTCCTTCCCTTTCCTAAGTATGAGTGGGTTTGATGAATGGGTTTTAAAAGGCGAAAGCAGATTGTGATGAGCAGCTGCTTTATGGGGATGTTAAAGAAAGTGCCCAGCTCTGCTGTAATGCAAATAATACAAGGGGAGGGGGGAAGGGGGAACAGGGAGCGTTTAAATAAACTCAAGTGGAAATAAATTACAAAAATCACACCAACAGCAGTAAAGTTGGTGAAATGACAATCTGGCATAAAAGGCAGAGCAAGACTAATTAAATATTTAATGCCTGTAAGAGGCACTGGCACATCCCAAGGTATCAAGTGTGATAAAGATGTAAGTAGTTGTCATCTGCTTTAGCGTCTGATCCGGACAAACCTGTTTGCTTGCCCCTGCCCTGTTGCAGCCAGTCCTGGTCTGGCCTCAGGAATGTCACCCTGGCCCCTGGGTCACACATGGCCTTAAAGATGTCACCTCAGCTTCTGGGCCACAGATGTCTTCTTGTAGCGTGGCTCTTCCTGGTCCTGCGAGCCAGACACAAGGAATGTCACTGGATCCCAGCATCCAGCTCCTGACATGGGATGTGGTTTGAGATTTTTTTGTGTGTTTTTTTTTTTTTTTTTTTTTAAAAAAAAAGAAGAAAACCAACCTCAGGCAAAAGGGAATTTATAGCAGTGTCCCGATTTGTACCCAAATTGTGTGATCTGGGAGCTGCATACCAGTGAGTGCAGCTTTTGGGTCATTCCCATCCCTCTGGCTGTGAATCCCCATGGGATGTTTCACATGAGGTGCCTGCCTGAGATCCTTGACTCATTGCATAGCCCCAGGACTTTATCTGTGCTTTTGGGATGAAAAAAGAGGAGTTGTGGTGTCTCCAGATGCCAGGATGAGAGGGCTGGAGGCAGCACAGCCACCCCGGGGCTTGGCAGGGTGGTATGGCTGGCACTGTGTTTTCCTGCAACTGCTGCTGTCCCTGACTCCAGACTGAGCACATTTATATCCCACACTTCCCAGGAGCATCCCAGGGCTATCAGGGATCCCATCACCTCTCCTTATGGGCTGTTCCTGCTGCCAGGGCGAAGCCGGAGCGTCGGGTGGGGAAGGCAGGAGGATGAGGCACAGCTCCCCTGGCTCCGCCACAGCTGCTGAGCTCATTTTTAGCTCATTATTTCTGCTTGGGAGCTGATGAAAGGCAGTTTGCAAAGATGCATTTAATGGGTGAAAATTCATAAAAATGTTTTCCGGGCTCTGTTGTGCCGGTGCAGCGTCCGACCACCAACGCTGTTTGCCGCAGCGGTGGCACCGGGGTCCGTGCCAGCATCCTGAATGCCCCCTGCACCCCAGGAGCTCTGTGTGAGTGAGGGACTTGGGGTTCAGAGCACAGTGGCACCGGGGTTTGTGCCAGCATCCTGAATACTACCCTGAACCCCAGGAGCTCTGTGTGAGTGAAGGATTTGGGGTGCAAGGCATGGCTGCACTGATGCACAGAGGGATGCTGCCAGTACCAAAATGGGGGGCAACCATGGGAAAACACACTTTAAAAAAAAAACCAAAACAAAACACAAACCCAAACAAACTCTTTTTTTTTTTTTTTTTTTTTTCAGATTGGAAGCTTAGAAAACTACTACCACTTTCACCACAGCAGGACGTTTAAGCGCTCGACGCTGAGCAGCCGGGGACCGCACAACTTCCTCCGCATGGACCCCAAGGTACGGGGCTGGGCAGCCCGGGGTCCCCTGGCCTCTGTGGGGATGGGGGTGCCTACTTCCCCCTGGAGGAGCCTGTTGACTTGGTATGGGTCAAGTGTGAGCCGAAGCATCTTGGGATGACATGTTATCCCTGAACCACGGCCCTGCGCATGCACGGGGTGACTCATTGGACATGGGGACGGAGAGCAGTGAAAAATACTTAAAAGTGACTAAACACTAACATCTGCCTGAAAGCCAGGGAGAAGAAAAGGGGGAAAAAGCTTTCCAGGATAGAAAGGCTGTTGCATGCTCAGGGTGTTGATCCAGTTGCCACAACACTTGCTGCCTCAATGGTTGCTATGTGTGAAATCCTTGGCAATAGCTCTGCATTGCTTTTTCCTAGAGCAAGCATCCAAAGGGATTTTCAGTGCAGCTGAATTGACAAAAGTAATGGGGAAGGGGGGGAAGAATGCAAGGAGGGACCTGGATGAGCTGGGCTTGGGGTGGTGAGGAATGGCTGGGGCTCTGCCTTGGCTCTTCTCCTCCCCCAGCTCACCCAAGCCCTGTGAGATGGGACTTCTGCAGAGCAGGGAAGGGTTAATGGTGGCGAGGGTCTTCTTTCTTTTGGAGAGGGGAACATAAACACAGAAAAGCCATTTTGGTGAAGGTACTCATGCTCTAGCAAGCTGCTGGTGCTCGAACCAATGCCTGGGGATGCTCCCAGCCACCCTTGGGATGCTCTTTCCTGAGGCATCTCCAACCCACTCCGCACCACATGTCCCATCCACATCTCCCCAGGTGCTCAGAGCAGCCCTGCCCTTCCCAGCCAGCCAGCTTTCTGGGGAAATTTGCTGTTAAATATTTGGACAAGGTCTGTTGCACAGTTCTGAGGAGGTGCACGCGTGGCTGCGCTGCTGGCGGGGAAACCTCAGCGAGGGGAGCTGGTGCCCTGGAAGTGTGCTGGGCTTTAATTAAAGCTGTTTGCCCTCGGGGAGGTGCACAGGCATCCCAGCAAACCAAGGATTCGGCTCTGCATGTGAAATACCTCCATTTAAATGAGTCTGGTTATAATGCAAACTAAATCAATTGGCTTTTAGTCTTATTAACATTTACCTTACCTTACTCTATGGGCTGCAAGCTGGATCAATTACCTCCTGTTCTCTTAATCCTTCCTTATCAGTTCAAGACCTGTTGGCATGTCTTGTCTCTCCCCCTTTCCCATGTACATTTGCAAATCCTCTTGGAGATGCATTTGGATGGCACCAGCTTAGCATGCATGCAGGAAAACCTCACCTTGAGGCATGAGGACAGGAGCTGGAATAGGGAAGATGGAAACAGATCTTGCAGAAATCCCGAAGAACCAGCCCATCCAGTTGTTTGCAGATGTTGGGTGGTTCCTGCCTTCCTGGGGCTATTGTTTCCAGAGCTGTTATTTATGTTTGCTGTGGGGGTCGGTGGCACAAGGACCCACAGCCAGAGGAGGAGTCTGGGAGAGGGGAAACCCAGCACACACAGAGCAGCACCTGGCAACCTGGTCCTTGTGGGGCCACGCTGCTGCACAGCTCCCCTCTTGTCCCAAGAGACCCTGCAGCTGCTTAGTTTGGGGCTGATATGAGCCAAGTGATGTGGCAGGTCATGGAAAGGGAGGAGAAACATGGCAAATCCAGCAATTTTGGGGGCAGGTCGTAGCAGTGAGAGTAAGAAGTGTGGAGGGACAGTGGGATGCAGAGTTGGGTCACACCATGCTGTGCCACCCCTCTTAGGGCTCCACTTGCAGCTCTTGTTGCCCTAGACTTTCCTGGCTCTCTGGGGTGCTCCTGCTGTTACGTGCAGGGCTTGAACCTCCAGCTCACTGCTTCAATCTCTTTAATCCAGATCAGAGGATGCCATGGCCTCAGTCCCTGTCCCTCTGGCCACGCACCATGGCAAAATCAACTTCACCTTAATTATCTGTGCCATGCCATGGCAAACATATGCTGGAACCAACTTGCTTATCCTGGATCTCTGCTTTAACTCACGCACATCCACTGGTATAAGTCAAGCAATCGCTTTTTTGGAGCTGCAAAGGGAGTTGCACCCTCACCCTTGCTGGTGGAGCCACCCAGGCTGGCTGGGTTGGGGCATCACCTGCTGAAAATCTCAAAGTGAGGGGGAACATATAAAACTGCTGCTCTGTTTGCAGGAAGGTCGAAGGGTTCAGCTCAGTGATACCTGAGCTGCCTCATGGGGTCCTTTGGTGCCTCTCACAGTTACCTCCTTACTGCTAATTGTACCTCAAGGTGTTCCAAGAGAGCTGGAGAGGGACTTTGGACAAGGGCCTGGATTGACAGGACAAGGGGGAATGGCTTCCCACTGCCAGAGGGCAGGGTTAGATAGGATATTGTGGAGGAATTCTTCCCCATCAGAGTGGTGAGGCCCTGGCACAGGTTGCCCAGAGAAGCTGTGGCTGCCCCATCCCTGGAAGTGTCCAGGGCCAGGTTGGACAGGGCTTGAAGCAATTTCGTCTAGTGGAAGGTGTCCTTGCCCATGGCAGGGGATTGAAATGAGAAGAGCTTTAAGGTTCCCTCCCGACCCAAAGTGGTCTACGATTCTGTGATAATTAGGGTTTGCAGAGGTAGAACAGGGACCTCTGGGTCTCAGGACTGTAATACCTTGGGCTAGTGGTAAAAAGACTTTCAGTTTTTTAAATTTCCAAGAAGCTTTTCCCTCACCCTGGATTAACAATAGATGTTGATCCGAGTTTCACAAGCCACAGGAGCTGTTGCAGGGATGCCCCAGGCTCCTTCCTGCTTGCCTGTTTTCCCATGCCAGCCACATTGATTTATCAACTCCCCCTTGAAATCAATGCCCTTAAACTGCTGATTTCTCCATGTCCACACACACTGACTCCAGGCTGGCAGCACTGGGGCTGATCTGGAGCATGTTTGAGATGAAGACATCCCCACAAGGCATCACAGCTCCTGGCAAAAACTCCGCAAAATCCCGTATCTTCCCATCATTCCTGCATCCAGCAAAGCTGCAGGGAAAGGCAGTAGCTGTGGCTTGGACAATGAGACCCATGGTAATGCTGCCAGGGAGTGGTGCTTTAAGGAAAAAACCCATAACCTCTATTTAATGTATTTTTATTTTTTTTTTAACTAGACCATGAAGTGGTATTTTTGCTTCCAGTGCTTAAATCCATCACAGTACAAGCAAAGCAGTGCTCTGTCGTCAGCCAAGGCAGCGTGGAAACTCATTTTTCTATGATATATATTTTTTTTTTCCTTTCAACAGTGTTTTTTTCTTTAAAATATATATGTGTTTAAAACCCAAGCTGTAGGCTGGAAGCTGTCGGGTTTCTGACACGCAGAGCTCCCAGTCCACCTCCGTCCTAGGTACAAAGCTATAAACTGTGCAAGAACTCTGTTCAGCTGACAGTTATACATAAATGAGCCCAACAAAAGTTGTGTTTTGGATTTTGATTCTTTTTGTTACCAACCCTTAGTCACAACAATAGAGACATCCCCATGAGCAGCTCCCAGAAGACCCAGAGCCGTCAGGAAGAAAGTGCCCAGCGAGGAGGGATGTGCCACAGAGCCCTCCCAGCTCATCAGCTGGTGCCTCTCTGTTCTCTCCCCAATGTGGACACCTCTAAAGATTTGGTCTATAAATTATTTCGATAATCTCTTTTCACTAAACTTGGGCTTTACCTTCATGCTGAAGGCAGGAAAGCCCTTTTTTTGTGGGGAATAAAAGGTTTGGGGGGGTTAATGCATGCCAGGTATGGGATGTGACTGCTCCCAGATCAGCACCGTAGGCAGCTCCCACCACAGCAAACACCAGCATTTCCCAATCCTGGCCTTCTCCGGATCATTTCTTGTTTGATCTCTTTGCATGTCATGCCCTGCTGAAAAGCAAACAAATGTCAGAGTGATCGGCTCCAAGGCCACCTCGCCCTTAGCCAGTGCCAAAAACACTTCTCTGGAGCTGGCCATGCCCCCCAGATCTGCCGTGGCTGTGTATGGCCATCACACATTTTTGGGAAACGCGTGTTGTCCTTGGGTTAATCCCCCAATTTTATTATTTCATCAGGAGGAACGAGCTTCAAGGATGAGCAGCCCTGGAGCCAGGTGGCAAAGTCTCAAGGCTGAGCTGCTGCCTCCCAGCCGGAAGGATCAGCCCAAAGACTAAGCCAAGCACCCGAGCCTTCTCCAAAACTTTGACTAAACACTGAAATATGTTGTCTGTCTCCAGCAGGACTCCAGCATGTGCTTCTGTGCTTTGTTAAGCCAGGGGGTTTAGGCTGCACTCAGAGGCAATGTTATTTATGCTCGAGGGTTTTGCTGCACCAGGAGAGGAATCTGGTCCCTGGCTCAGAGACCGCAAAGAGCTGAGCTCACTCTGTCTGTCTGTCCATCCATTCTTTTCCTTCCAAATGGACCTGCTATCTCCACAGCAGCTCTGGCCAAGGAGATGAGGGTTTGCCAGAGCATAGGGTGATGCTGGGACGGGTCCAGGCTGTGGCTGGCGTCACTTCTGCATCCCATATCCCGTTTCAATGGGCAATTCCGGGCTCTGTGCCCAAGGCTGATGCTGACCCATGTCTCTGCTTGCAGGTGGACTGGCTGCAGCAGCAGGAGGTGAAGCGGAGGGTGAAGAGGCAGGTCCGAGGGGAGCCACACGCTCTGCCCTTCAACGACCCGGTGTGGCCCAACATGTGGTACCTGGTGGGTATTTCCCCGCTAGGACTCCTCTGCCTTATGGGGGGCTCCTGTATTTTTAAGCAAATGCGTCATCAATCTTTGTTCAGCCCAGCCAGTCATGACATACCTTGATATCAGCAAATGTGCTTGGCAGGAGGATTTTAAAATTGTGGACTAATGCACATGAGAGTCCAGTTTGAAGTGTTGCACCCTCATTAGCAGCCCCTCATCATGGGCTGTGCAGCAAAGGCTTGGGAGCAGCACCACTGCATTTTACCCATCCCAGAGCTGCAGCCATCTATTTGTAATATCATTTTTCTCCTGCCTGCGTCATCGATCTGTGTTTGACAAGGAAATTCATTGAAAATTAAGGGTGGAAAGGAAATGAGCTCTTCAAAACCCAAGAGCCCACAGTATTTGAAATGGAAGAGGAAAAGAATAATAGGGAGATAGCATTGCCTGGATTAACTGCTGCTGGATGAGTTTGATCTGTGGAGTAAAGTTATAACAAATCTACGAGTTATATGGCAGGGGGTGGGTTGTAAATATATTTTCTGGTTGATTAAATGGGCTCCCAGCCTGGCTGTTTGCTTAGATGGGCTGGAATGGGGTTGCAGCATTTTGCAGCTGTGTTTGTCTCTGTAGCACTGCGGCGATAAAAACAGTCGGTGCAGGTCGGAGATGAACATCTTGTCAGCCTGGCAGAGGGGCTACACGGGCAAGAACGTGGTGGTCACCATCCTGGATGACGGCATAGAGAGGAACCACCCCGACCTCCTGCAGAACTACGTGAGCTGGGGGATGGACGGGCGGGGGTGAACGGGCTGTGGCTGATCCTCGCCACAAGTTGATTTATGGAGAATTTCAATGTATAAACACAGCTGAAGTCTGTGCATTGGCATATTTAGAGGAAAAGTTTTTTGGTTTTGTTTTTTTTTTTTTTTTTGAGAAAGCTTGAGATGTTTTTAAGAAGGAAATGAGGTTTTTAGATAAGAAGGTTTGGGGGAAACTCCCTTTGCAGCTGCCTGGGAAGCAGCCGCCTCCCTCTGCTCACCAGGGCAGAGCCAAAAACCTGCATGAACGCACTCAGCCCCAGCTCAAAAACCAAATGGCCACAGTGGAGAGAAGGGGGGTGTTGGACCCAGCAAGATTTGGGGTTCAGAGGAGCAGTTCCTGAGGTAACAGGATGTTTCCCCTGGGAAACATGCAGTACTGCAGCCTAAAACTATTTATCCTGAGGAAACAGTCAGAAACTAAGGGGAAAATGTCGTTTCCTGCCCTGCTTGGCTCTGTTGGCCACCACTCCAGCTGCTGGCCACCACAACCACCTGGTAAGTTGAATCTAATGATGGCAACATATTTTCAGGATCCTCTTGCGAGCTACGACGTCAATGGGAACGACCACGACCCGACTCCGCGCTACGATGCCAGCAATGAGAATAAGTACGTGATGCTAATTGCCATGGGGCTGGGGTCTGTGGGGTCCTGGGAGGCTGGGTGTCCCCACTGGGATGTCTTCCAGGTCTGTGGCCTTTCCTCATCCCCAGTGCTGCAAAGGAGGCTGCATTATGGGCTTTGCACAGTCATTGTGTTTAATGCAAGTCCAGCCAATTGCTAGTGGACCCTTGGGCCATCAAACTACAGCACTGTTGGGGGTTCCTTGCCCTGGCTGGGGATTAAGCCACATGAAGTCAGGATGGGTGGCTGAGATGGCAAGCCTTGGACACACATTTTGGGCTTCAAATAAATAAAAAATAAAAGTGGGATG